ATTATTCCCACCGTTTTTGACTCATATTTCTGTCTGGACTTTGATATGTTTTTAATGAAAGCCTTCATTGTATCTCTTAGAGTATGTTTAGAGGGGAATGCATGCTGAAATTGGAACATCTAGTCAGATAAACTGACTCAATTTAACACGTATTAGATGTGTCTCTCTTATGTGTACAGAAGCCAGAGAGAATAGTGGATTCCAGCCTTGGACAGTTTCAGAAATGACACCCCTGAATAGAGTAATGTTCTGGGACTGAAAAATAAAAAACAATATGGGCAATTTTAAAAGGGTCTGTAGTTGCCAATGTGTACTGCCCATTAGGGAAGCTTTTTTTTTTTTTTTTATCTTATCCTGCTCCTCTTAAATCATAACCATCATTCCTATACCAAGATGCAATCTTCACTACATTTCCCCCCTGATGTGATGTGCAATATTAGGTGCAATACACGTTGTGTGTTGAACACAGGACATCAACTGGTCCACTGGTTTCCAAGTCTGAACGACCCCCCTTTCAGAGATCTAGACAGGTATCGGGTATTGCACGCTAACAAAGAAAGCAAATGACTGCCCATTTATAAGCGGCATATCCGCTCGTTCAGTTCAATTTGCATGTTTTCTAAGCCAAGACAAGGCTTTGTTTTAGGTCCACTCAATAAAACCTCAAACTCAACGCTGTTCCTGACATTTTGAATAGAAAAAGCTTCCTGGAAGCTTCCTTTTTTGGAATGACTATGACCTGGATGACAGATAATCTTCACTAATAGTTTCATTTGTGTCAGATATGTGGAGTACATGTCTAATTGTTATCCTAGCAACAGAATCAAACACCAGAGTTGGGAACTTCTCCCTCCCCTCCAGAGTTACCAAGGGCCTCTTGGCTGCGTATTTGAAAAATTCTCACTCTGCCAGGCCTTTAGTTCTAGCATTTGTTGAGGTTATGTGTTCCTCTTTGTTTCATAGGTAAATGTGTCTACCAGTGTGGTAAATATGAATTCCATCAGCCAGTTTGCAAATTCCACAGCAGACACTGCTCTGATGAGAAATGTGTAAACCTAGCAGATTACATCTTAATGTAAAAGATAGCAGGTTGGTAGCAACTGTAGCACAACATCCTAGCAGGTAGAAGTCAGTTGGGATTATGACTCAAATGTGGTGAGAATACAGGCTCCAAAAACAAACACCATTGGGGATATATTGTCAGAGAACAGGTTGAGGAGAATACAGCTGTAGTCTTGGTTTGTTTGCTGTATGCCAGTTATATAACCATCAACATATTGCTCAGTCAGTTATGCTTTTGCCATTCGACTGAAAGTAATGGATTATTCCAGTTTGTTGGGTTTAAAAAAAGAGCAAGGCAGAGTTTCAACATGGTTCACTATGTTAAACAATTGTACAGTAGTATGCATATTGTATTTTCATTCTCTTTTTAACCAAGTTTACAGACTAAACCCACATTGGATTCAAGAAAACGGTGCCTGCTGATGAATGTTTAGCAGTGTTCAAGACAGTATTGTGTATAGAATTTTAAAAGGAAAAACAACAGATAAACATTACAGCCTGCAGCTACATAGGTAATGATAGTATAATAGTATTGACAGCCCGGAGGTAGAAGCTGTTTTAAAGTATGTTAATGCTTTTAGATACCTTTATTCTCCTATCATAAATTCTGTGATGAGTTAAAGAGGTGATTTGAGATAAGTATTAAGTTAGAGAGTCACAGTTGATGTACCCAGGGAGGGGGAGTTATGTGCCAGTGATGTATTGCAATGGCTCCCCTACTCTCTGCAGGTCTTTGTTGTGTAGACCAGTGTCGCTTTTGAATCTTTTGGGCAGCAGTTATTCAGGAAGCCATCTTTTGTTGACCATCAGAAAATGGTAAATGCTGACACAGCTGAGGGTGCTTTACGGTCTGCTGGAAACACAATCAGTTTGCCAAATTCCCCGCTTTATAGAGTTTTTTTTGTGGCATAGCTGAGGTCTGTGGAGATATCTACTCAGAAAATAAAGTTCTTAACCTCATTTCTACGTATAAACAGTGATACCTTCTTGGGTTGCTGTTATTTACTGAAATCTATAATTACTTATTTTTGTTTTGTGATTTTACAGCATAGGTCAGTATAAGAGGCCTGCTCTGCCACTAAAGATATCCTTTCCATTTCCAGGATCATTGTTTTCATTAGTTCTAGGATGTTGCTTTCATCAGTAAACAGAAAAAATGTGCTATTGAAGGTATGACCGTCCAGCCCAGAATGCTCTGCTGTGTTGTTAACGCTAAGTTTTGAGACCATTTTTAGGTAATTTATATAAAAGCTGATGAGAAATCCAAAAGCAGATTTCTTACATTGTTGTGGTCCCGGCAAATGAAAATGTAAAGAGCACATGCTGCCATCATCTGTTTAGTGCACATGTAAACTGATGCTGCTCTAATTAGCAGAGCTGGGAGATTGGAAATGGGAAATAAATATCTAAAACAACGTGTTGATGATAGGGGAAAGTGTGAATGACTGATAGTCATTAGGTTAGTTGACTGTGCTTTTTTTGGTACTGGGATAATTGCTGGTCACCAGACACTGTAGGAGTGTGAGATTGGGAAAAGTTGAAAATAGATGAGAGCTAAAATAGACTGTTCAGAATACAACCCACAAATACACCATTTGATTCTCTACACAGCAATAACGCTAATTATAAATGAAAAATATACAAACAAAATCAAATGCTATCCATTTAGTGGACTATATCAGTGACTCTGTGTCATTATTCTTTGCCTTCAAAATTGGATGATAAAACATGATTTATCCATTGATAGTGCAGAGCAGTAGCCATGCTACTAGCATATATATATATATATATATATATATATATATATAAATATATAAATATATATATATATAGGTAATGACTGCTGTGAGTTCAAATATAATGTTTTAAACAATTGAAATAAAGAAAATAAAGAAAATCATGCTGATTTTTTTTTCCCTTTTATATTCATTTTTAGACAAGGACTAAAAACTAACTGAGATACAATAAAAAAATATAATTTTGAATCCAGATCTGCAAATGAAAGTAAAAATGAAATACTTAACTAATAAAGGTATATATTTTTATGTAATTATAAATTGTCTTAAAATATTTTCTTTAAAACCTTAATTGTAACAACAGTACATGGCACAAACAGTTATCATAAAAAAAACAGAACTCTGAACCACTTTCATAGCAACGGCATAAAAAGATTCACATGTAACATCCATGTTTAAAACAGGATCACATCAAGTTGCCATGGCGACTGTGTACAAGTGCAATGATTGGCCCTTTTGTCACTGCTTGTTGCCATATTTTATGTGTTGGTTTTTCTGAATGTAAGGCTGTAATCCAGAGCTTTGCTTCCCCTTCTGTTTACTCTACAACTGCAGCGTTTTACATTTATTACAGCATTGATTGTATGTTTTTTTAACAGCTTATTAAATCTATTTGTACATTTTTTTTTTTATATTTAACTGCTTAATGGGTGTTCATTGCCATTGCTGTGCATTGTTAAACAGCTTGCTGAAAGGCATTGTTCTGTGTCGGTTGTAATGTGCTCTTCTGACATATAGTTTTCACTGTTTTACTAAATTTGATATAATATATTCTAGTTTTTTTTTCAGGTGTTTTACAAGGATGCAAAGACAAAGAAGGACAGAGCTGGGGTTTGAAATACCGACCCTAAAGTTTCAGGACGAACTCCTGCTGCACCTTCATACTTATTTTAAAGATTACATGGCTTTCAGAAAATGAATTTTTAAGGTTTATTTTTTCTTTAAGTATGTGCTTGTAAACTCTAATATTACCTACATGTTAAGAGTTAAGTGGAATGTTTTCACAAGCAATTTATTTAATTAGGACAGTTCTTCTGTCATGCAAACCGTAATTATCTTCATTATGTACACAACGATTTGGAAATGAAAGGGAGCATAAAGACAGAGATGATAATTTTAAACAGAGAAAGCTCTGAAAGTTATAGATTGTCCTTGATCTGAAAACACTGTACATTATCTTGAGATGGCTGGAGCCAGTGATGTCTGATCATTTACACACAATGTGATGTGAGATGTGATGATGTGGCAGGGTGTGATTATGGAAATCTATAAAAAGCTTATTTTAACTGTCATTTAGGGACCTTCACTGATGAAGCAATCCTGGTAAGGCAGGGGTGGGCAATTCCAGT